AAGCTGAGTCTTTGTTCTCGGGTGGCACTACGTGTTGTGTACTCAAACATTTCTCCACCATTACCAGTGCCTGCATTTACAAGTGGATGAACCACAATGCATATCAGTTCGCACATTTAGTCATTCAGAGTAGCTTGCCACACATTTTCAGCAAATCGTAGCATAACAAAAAAATCCACTCGACTGGGCCCACCATCTGTAGAACAGTGACTCATCAAGATTGAATACTAATTAACAGGAGTCAAGATTTATAGACCAAAAAAAAAAAAAAGCCACATGGGATTCGAAACTACCAGTGGAAAAAAGCCGTGTTTTTATGAAATGTCATTAATTCTTTTGGAGTAAAACTCTGCTGTCAGGGAGCTTTTGTCTTCGCTGTGTCAACATGTGACTGAAATTCAGAGAGAATTGAATTAATTGTATTAGCCGTGTTATTCATGCTGGGCCGTGTACTTTAACAAATCCATCACCCAGTTATACAAACAGTAGCAAGTGTCAATTCGAGGCTTCAAACAGCTGATGGAAAAAATGTTCCCAAGGATGTTTAATTTAGGTTGATTTCCTGCGACTATTAAATACTACACTTTGTATGCGGGGAGTTGGATAGGTTAGTACATCAGTGTTAATACCTGAGGTGCAGAATGATATAATTAGGGGTTTAATTATATCTTAACTGGCTCATCAGTATGCAGCGCACCGACTCAGGATTGTCTGATGAATGCTTTAATATTGAATAACACCATTAATGCAAGTGCCTCTTGAACGCAAACATACACGAGACTTAATGGGATAATATCCTAACCGGGGGATTAAATAAAACTTAATGAATTGTTGTCATCGTCTGAACAGCAACGTCCTTTTTTTTGGAAAGATGACGACGAGCCAACAAAACGGCTCTAAACAACTTTAGCTTCTCCTCTTCCGCTCCATTTTCTGCCTGTCAAAGTCCCGCTCAGCCTTTCAACAAGTGACACATCAGCGAGTTAAGTCTGATTAAGATTTTTATCATTTCGCAGACAATGTCTTTGTGTAGCGGCCTGCAGTCAGAGGTTACGGCCCCTCTCGCTAACCCCTGTGATGTTTAACTGCCTTTGAAGTTCTCCCAAACACCGAAACACAAAGACGAGCTCTGTGGGTTCTTAAGTCAGCTGGTGCCTCTGAAGAGATTAAAAGAGCGTCTACGTGTGTCAGACAGATAGAGCGAGAGAAGAGCGTTCACGAGTTCCAGTCACAGCAGATTACAATGTTTCTGATTTACAAGTGAGTGTTGCCGATCCGGCCTGTTTTGACAGCAAGAAATATCTGAGTATCTGAGATATGTGTTTAATATCTGAATGTTGAGGCCCGAGGCGGTGTGAAATTCAAATCAATTCAGCCGCCGAGAGAAGTGTTGAACTGCAGGATGCCTCCTCGCGCCGCGTTCTGGGGGCGAGGCAAAGAGTCGAAACCAGAAGATTACAAGTCACTGTACAGTCAGAACCCCAACAAGACGAGACCAAAGCAGAAAATCTGTGGGTTTTAGCAGCACTTTGATACTTTTCAAGGTCAAGATGCGGAAGTTTTGAAAAAGTTTTTTTTTCCCGAAGATCACAAATGGGCATCGAGAAACGAGCGCCGCAGCCACCGTCGTTTCAAAACCCCCCCAAGTCCTGTGATTCGCCTGAGACAGCTCCCGTGTCCTCTGTGGCAACCTTCCTTCGTTCTCTTTGATGTTGGGATGAGAAACAATTCCTCGCATGAAAGATGGAAGTCTTCAAAGTTTCCTCCTTCGTTCTTTTGTGTTTTACCCAAGGCCTTGGGCTATAGGTATCTTCTGGAAGTGTGGAGGAGTGAGCGATGGTTGGAGGAGGAGGAGAAGAAGGAATGAAAGGTTTTTTTTTTCTTTTTAATCAGGACGAGCCATGCAGTGCAGGTTAAATAGGGCTTTAACCTCAGCTCCCACACCCAGAATAGAAGACAAAGATCCTGCTCCACAGTTCACAGGAATGGACAAGCGCTTGGCAGTGCTGCCCTCCGGCTTTGTTATTCAATGTGAAACCCGGTCGAAGAAAGTTAACCTTTAGCAGCCATAAATTCACTGTCATGAAAATTCATAACAGTTTTGACTGGCTTTCTCAGCGCCGTAGACAGAGATGAATGGACGTATTTACATTTGACAAGGATTATGGAAAAAGAGAAATTTGCCAAAGTATTTGTTTATGCTTGCACTTTCATTTTCTCACACGAATGGCCTTTTGGAGATTTCCAGGCCTTCTCACCTCGAGTGAGGCTGAAATCCTCTTCCATCTCGTCTTTGTTCGCGGGACGGCAGCCGTCACCACTGTCGTTTCTGCCAAAGGATGATAACTCACAAAGACCACAAGGTTGTAATTACAGCCTTCCCAGTTTCCACTGAATAGAACACTTACCATATGGAAGCCGAGCGGTGTGAAAGAAAACACTCTGAAACGAGAAGAAAGTCAGAAAAGTGATTCATCGTTTCAGTAAAAGGAGGGAAGTAGCAGAAAACAGGAAGAGAAGGAAAAACAAAAGGACACGGGAAAGTCACCAAAGTGAACGATGGCAGAAAGTATCTCCCTCGGTTGTTGCTGCTGTGCGAGATGAGAAGCAGATGTTTGGTACAGACAGTTCGGCCTTTTGCTCACACGAGTCCGCAGCATAACACTTGTCAAGCCTTAATGCTCGGCTGCAGATAACACTCATCACTTCACACACCATCCACACTCGTCCTCGATAAGAAAGCGTTTTCGGCCAGAAGAGAAGTTTTTAGAGCTTTTGTTTAACATGAAGTGAGGTATGGCTCAGCTGCATGTTGTCAGGACTCTATTAAAGAGGAAACTGAAGTTTTGTTTTTACAACAAATGAGGAACGATCAGAGCAAATGCAACTGCTCTTTTTTTTTCTTTCTTTTTTTTAATCCTGGTTGAGCTTTAAAGTCCACACAGAGACTGAGTCATTGCTCAGTGCTTTATTCCAGCTAGAAAAATGGGTTTTAAGTCATGTTGTTGGACTAATGAAGTATGACTGCAGCGAGTGAGGATTATGGATGTTAGTTTGAGAGAGTCTGGATTTCAGTTCCATGAGAACAGATTACCATGCTGTCTCTGTGTCTGTGTTATGTCTTAGCGAGGAGACGCAGAAAGAAGATATTCTCCGAGTACTTCCTCAGCGACACAGCCGAGCTGAAAAGCCAAACATGATTACGCAGCCCCTTCAGGATTTCGGAGAATTATTGCAACTAATGCTTTGTTTTTGTGGCGTCTTCTTTTGAGAAAAAAATTACGGAGCAAATTGAAACACAGATGCCACGCAAGAAAGAAGAAGAGGAGCGTGATTTGTGAGAGTAAACAGGCGAAATTGCATCGATCTGCTCGCTGACAGCTGTTTTGATCACGGCGCCGTGTTAAAAATTCACGGGAGCAGCTCATGCTCTGATAATTTAGTTGGTATAGGGCGCGGCGTGCATTTTAAGGAATAAACTCTGTGTCCGTGTTCGTGCATTTTGCTTTTTTTTTAAGTGTATCAGAGCCAGAAGATGCTAGTCCAATGATACAACTCAGTAAGAGCAAACAAAACAAAAAATGGCACACTCATAACCAATTTCAGTCATTCCTGCCTCCTCAAGCAGATTTCTAGTAAATGAAAATGATTTTTTTTTTCTTGAATGCCGTTCAAATCCTGTCACCCACCTAGAGCTTATTTTAGATTCACAGTAAACACGTCTCCTCTGCAGGGGAACCACTCTGAATTATCTGAATTCCATTCACACAAATGGATAGAAGCTTAATTTTGGTACATACATCATTCAGATACCATCTTTTTTTTTTTGTTTGCATTTCACAGCTGTGCAACCTCTAATGCCCTCCCTGGGAAACAAACAGCTTACATGTGGTATTTCAAAAATCACAGTAACAGAAAGACGATGAGCGCACGTGTAACCGAGTCACGCTATCAAGACGAGTGGTTGCGCCGCGGGAGCTTTTTAAGTGATCGAGCCCACCTGCCTAATCCTCTGTCTGTGGTAACTGATCTGTGTTGGCCACAGGTCATGTGTGAACGCATTATAAATCTCTCCGCCGTGGACCGGTGTGCTTAACCCAGTCCACCCAGCGAACAGCGTGCTGCATTAGATGTCTACATTCATCAACAGGCTGCAGGTTATCATCTGAGTGTGTGTGGGTGTGTGTGTGTGTGTGTGTGTGTGTTGGTGTGTGTGTGTGGGAGGTGCATGCGTCCACAGCTCATGTATCCGCGTGTGCAGATTATCGTTGACCCTGTTTTTTACGACGCACAACCTGCTGCTCCCGCTCTCTCCCCGCGCTAAAATACTTCATAGCTGCCTTTATTGAATTATCTTTTATTTTGCCGTATCGCGGGCGCGTCTTTGCCAGTCTTTGAAAGTGGCGCTTTCATAAGACACTGATGACACAGCTCATTGGATTTAGCGCCTAATCAGAGGCTTTTTAATGTATTCTCTGTGATTCATGAGATTGGATCCAAGCTTTATGAAAAGTCTCCCATTTGCATCTATGAGAAGAAAGGGTTCGGGTATTTCAGGCTCCTTTATCTGCGCTCATATCTTTTTTCATTTCAGCAGAAGGTTTTATCTGGGATTTAAAATGTGAATCATAATCACCCCTCCAAAACGCATTTTCAGTCTAAGATTGGATTTTCGGGAAATATTGAATGTTGCTACTTCAAGCTACCATTTGTGCCCGTTTTGAATAGATGTTCCTTATGATGGGATAAATCCTTCTTCATTTGCATATTTTTCATGAAATTATTTAAACCTCTAATCTTTTTACCCAGAAAATATCTTTTAATTATTGTAATTGAGTATTGTTTTCTATTTTTTTTTCCGGTTATTCTAATAATAAACATCTCTCCCAACAGCTCTTTATTCTTAGAAGCAAGTTCCTACAAAAACTCCCTCCTAGCAGCAGTGGAATCTCCTCTTCTTTTGTTCTGCTGGTCTGAATTTCATCTCTGCCTCTCTGCAGGTGTGATCCGTGAGAGCTACCAGAAGGGCCGGGACCAGCTCGTTCCCGTGACCCTGCTGGCCATCGCCGTCATCCTAGCGTTTGCCATGGGCGCCATCTTCTCCGGCATCATCGTCTACTGCGTCTGTGACCACCGGCGGCGAGACATGGACCTGACGGGCCGCAAGGAAAAGGACAGCCACCACCTCCACTCCCGCCGGGGATCCATGAACAGCGTGACCAAGCTCACCGGCCTGTTTGAGACGCAGGCCAAAGACGGTCGCCCCGAGGCCATCCTCACCCCTTTGATGCACAACGGGAGGCTGACACCGAACGGGAAGATGCTGATAAAAGCCGACCAGCATCACCTGGACCTCGCTGCTCTGCCAACGCCTGAATCCACTCCCATGCAGCCGCGTCGCAAGCCCAGCCGGGGCAGCCGCGAGTGGGAGAGAAACCAGAACCTCATCAACGCTTGTACCAAGGACATGCCGCCTATGGGCTCCCCTGTTATCTCTACAGATCTGCCCCTGAGGGCCTCGCCGGGGCACATTCCCAGCGTGGTGGTCCTACCTCTCCCGCAGCATCAGCACCAGCTCCAGCCTCATCTGCAGCAGCACCAGCAGTCCTACCAGCACGAGTACGTGGAGCAGCCGCATCACAGCGATATGGGCATGGGTCACGGTGTCATGGACGACCAGGGGGCCACCCTGGAGTACAAGACCGTGAAGAGCCCGTGTCACAACCTCACCATGGTGGATCCAGATGGGGTGCTGCCACCTCGCGTGCCCCAACGAGAGGCGTCCCTCACCGTCCCTCCTGCTGTCCCGCAGATGGGCAAACGCCTGGAGGTCCACTCGTCGGTCTACGGGCTCCGGAAAGGATCGGCATCTGGTGCTTGTGGATCCTCCGCCCTCAAGAAGCACAACACCAACTCATCTAATTCCTCCCATTTGGCGAGACATCACAGCTTCAACCGTGTGGAGACTCCGCCGCCTGCACCTCAGAGGGTGGACTCCATACAAATGACAGCGCAGGGCATATCTCTGTCCCGGCAGCCTGGAATGAGTTCCTACGGTTCACTGCCTCGAACGGGCATCAAGCATCTCAAGCCTGATGTCCCACCCAAACCCTCCGTAGTCTCACTCTCGACAAAAGTCAAGTCCAGTGACTCCGGCACATAGTCAGCTTCAATGCCCGTCGGTCCAATGTGAAAAGACAGAAGCGAAAGGTGTTTTCTGAACGAGAGAAAAAAACAGGGAATACTGTACAACTTGCATCTCCTTTTAGTGTTTCTGTTTGTTTTTTGGTGTACATTACAGTGGAAAATGCAACACAGTTTTTTTAAAGAAAACACTTTCTTTTTATATAAATATGTAAATATACGATGGTTGTCGTCATTTGTCGAGCTCCTGCTCCGGCCGGCTCCACACGGGAACACGTGCTACTGAAAAAGAAGATGATGCTCGTCCTGAATATTTCATCCAATGGCACCCTGTAGCATTCAAGACGGCTGCTCTCTTGTTTGTGGTGTCTTTGGTCACGAGGAAACTTTATCATGCTGGTAAAAGCACATAAGAAGACAGAGCGTGGTGGGGGAGGAGGAGGGGAGTTGGAGAATAATCGTTGTACAGTACCTTGAGGACTGGAGAATCTGAGCGAACGAGCACTCAGAGAGATTGGACTGAAAGGACAGACAGCTGCCTGGGTTCTGTCGGAAACTGTGAAAAGCCTCTCAGTGTTACAGCAATCAAGTCCCGCCTGGGTTCGGTTGAAAAAGCCTGGGCCAGAAGAATCTTCTACTGTACTGGTTACTGATTAACACATGACTGTTAATACTAATAGCTTGTTGTATTTATTTTTATTAAGTGCTTTTGGAAAAAAGAAAACAAAAAAAAAACTGACTTTCTAGGCTTGGGGAGAAAAAGAGAGAGAGAGAGAGAGGACGAAGAGATCTTTTAATATTAATTAATCAAGTGTGAGGAAAAAAAAAAATATTTAAAGTCATTAAACTGGAGCCAGTAGAACTTTCTTGATGACTAAAGGTCCACTCGGTCTTACTGTGCGCTCGGTGGGACCTGCAGCTTGAGATATGCGCGACGAGGAGGAGATATTTATTTAAACTGTGCCAGACCAGGACTTTTACCTTTACGGACCAGAATTTCCATTGTTTTAGACCAATCATTTAAAAAAAAAAACAAGACTTCCTGAATCCTGAATCTCGCCCTTTCACTCCTCCAATGAGCATCTCCCCCCCGCCCCGCCCCCCCAAACCCCAAACCCCAATCAGCACTGTGGTTTTTGTGTGAGTCAGAAACATTCGTCCTGATTGGTCGCTGGCTTACCGGTTGCCATCAACGCTCACTGTTGCATGTTGCAAATACAAGAGAAGCAGCAACAGTGCGGGAATCTGCGTAACACACATAGAAAGAGAAGCTGCAAGCGAGGCTGCAAGCGAACGGATCGATGCGCCTCCATCTCGGAATCGCATCGACTTTTTTTTCTCGCGGCCAGATGAGCAGGCGGAGGAAAGAAAAGAGAGAAGAAAAAAAAAACAAACATCTGTATTGCCTGCTTCTTTTTTTTTTTCCACATGTAAATTTGTGCCTTACACCCTGAAGTAGTAACAATTGTTTTCTTTTAATAGCTGTTAACTTTGTCTCCTTGTCGTAATTTTTTTTTTAATTTTTTCTTACGTCATGATATTTCCCTGGTTTGATAAAAATGCAATTAAAGAATGTAGGTGTTATTGTTGTAATTCTGGTCCCTAGACATAACACACTTACAGTCCAGGGGAGGAAAGACGGAGGAAAGGAAATGAGCGGATTCCTTTTCTTTCTTTTTCTCTCTGGCACCCACACATAAACACATACATGCACACACACACACACACACACACACACACACACACACACACACACACACACACACTCATCTTTGTGGTTCATTTCTGATTGTGCCATTAATGCGCTTAAAGCAACCCTTTATGTTGTGCTGGCAGTGTCGATGAAGACGTTGTGAGTGTTTTGTTTTTTTTTGATTTTCTATTTTCTACAATTTAAAAGTCCTGGTATTTGTTTTTACTTGTTTTTTTTTTTGCTGTCTCGTTTGTTTGGAGTGACGGTTAATTGACTGATATATTGAACAATTAACATTTTGTTACTTGAGAAGGCCAACGTATGTGTATCTCTCCGGTGCACTGCAATAATAATAATAATAATAATAATGCAACGACAACAACAACAACCACAGCTACAGTATATGGATACACGTGAGCACCCGGTGTACTAACACGGCTCTAGGCTTCTTCTTGAGTGCGTCGTAAACATTCGTTTGTTAGGCAGTTCAAACAGGCTGGTTCCTGTGAAGAAAACGACAATATTAAAAAAAAAAAAAAAGTGATTTAACCCCCTTTTTTTATTGTAAGAGAAATTTAGGTATGTTTTAATTTTTGCTTCACTAACTCTCATTATCAAGGCCTTATGAACGGCTGAGAGTTCGACTAATCAGACCTTTTTTTTTTTTTGCTTTCACTTCCTTTTTACTTGAGGATTTTTATTGACCACCCCCCCAACCCCCTCCTCACCTAAACACTTAAATCAGTGGAGCACTCCCTTAGTGTTGTATGTGTAGATAGGTGAAAAGTTTTCTTGATATCAAGCAATTTTTTTTTCTGTTTCTCAATGGAGGAAAGCCAACTATGTCTCAATCCACAGCTAAACTAAGGAGGAAGTGGAGAATCTTTGCCCCGACTGCCGTGTGCGCGTACAGTATAGGCACACGGTCTGGGGTCAGTTAAAGCAATTATCCCAGTAATTAATTAACGCCATCATCTTCAAAGTGCAAAAGATTAGCTGGAAGGTGTGTGTTCACTCCAGACTTGGCTGTAAACTGGTGACTGGGCACAAATAAAAAAAGGCCCTGTTTACACCCGCCAGTGTATTAAGTGCATGAACCAGCAACTTTCCCAGGCCTGGAACAATGTCGATCTGCTCGACTAAATATTTCTTGTTCAGCTGTGTTGGCTCTCGCCTGGGAGAACTGTCATGTCGGCGCAGAATGTGAGCGAGACAACCTGTCTGGGTCAGGAGGTTAAACGTCCACATCCTGCGTCGACAAGTGAGTTTGGCTGCGGGTGCATTTAACAGGCGTTGTGATATCCGAGGAGGGTTTGAACATTTTAAAGACTGGATTAGATTCGACTGTGAAGGCTGCTGTGGACAGTGAGGTTCTTTGGTGTGTGCCTTTTTGTCTTTCACCCTTGTTATAATACACTGCTATTAGATGCAAATCGACTCTCTTCTCAACTTCTCAAACTTTTGAACTTTGTAAGCTTGTAAGATATTGTGACGTCACAAAGTTTTTTGCCCTACTCTCTCCACTTCCTTAACATCTGATTCACAGCTTAATGTATGTTGTAAAGAAAAAAAAACTCTTTAATTTAATGCAAAATGTAATTAAAAAAAAGGAAAAAAAAGAAAATAAAATTCTTGTCATGAAGACTGTGATACGTCCTTGACTTCTTCACTTGTTTCTCTGCCTCAGGTTGTTATCGCTACACTGGGAACATCTTTAGGTGTCGAATGTTTGGGGAAAACCAAGCCCCGGTTTTTGCAGAGGATTTGAAGGTTCTTTTGATAAAGAATCCCTTTTAAGGAAAATATTGTACTGTTGTGACCTCAAATACACTCTATTCTTCTTTGCTTGTAAAACCTCCATCAACCCCTCGAGATCTGAGAAACATTTCTCAGAATAAGATTCTACTTCTGATACAAAGCACGCATAAAGGGATGAGAGGACTTTAAGTGAAAATTATTTCTTTAACTTCATACCCAATAAGCAAAAAAAGCCAAAGTTTTGAGCAGAGGGACGAGGCCTCTTCTCTGTTTTGCTATTGATCCTGTTGTTTGATGAAGATTGGAAGCAGGTTGATACACTCTGCATCACCTCTGGAGGAGTTACAGCTAATGAACTGCAGACATTAGTTGTTGATAACTGCAGCGTACGATTGGCATAATAAGCCGAATCCCATAGTTTATTGTTTTCTCTTATTTTTCGTGTCTTTTTCTTTAATGACTGAGAAAACCCTATCCTCATTCGAACCGCGTGGTTGCACCAGCTACACGGAGGTAGTCGATGTAAGACTTGTCAGATCTTTTCTTTCTTTCTGCAGCGTTCTCGTTCAAACACTTCTGCTGCAGTTGAGATTGTTTGACGCCAGCGTTTGTCAATCATCCGCTTGTTTCTCACAAGTTTTCGTGTTGATGTCGGTCTCCTTCTTAGTTTGCTTGGGCCAAGCGTTGTGACATTGCAGACGTCAACCGTGGGGCGTTTTGCTGGTGACGAGGTTGCTGTTGGAGGATCTGGTGGGAAGTCTGGTGTTACTCATGCTGTAGCCTCAGCATCTGAGGTGATGTTTGATGCTTGAGCTTGACTGCAAAGTTGGTGACGTGGTGGATCGAAACCTCTGCAGGTAGTTTCTTGAAGTCTCGAGGGTCCATGTTTTGCATCCGAGGTTTAAATGATGATGGCTTCATGCACCGGCTTTGTTGTTTAAAGTTTTTGTTTCTAAAGACACAGATCCTTCTCGGAGTTGCATCTCATCAAGACGAAGGCTTCATTTAGGTAAACCGATCCATCTGTTCCAGAGGGGTCTTTGAGATGGTGATGTTGGAATCTGGAGGAGTCGTCCTTGCAGCCAGTTGTTTGAGCACTTTGGTTTCTGAATGGAGACGGTGAGACCAAAGCCATCATATTCAAATCATAAACTATTTCAGCATGTTCTGAAGGTAACTGCGAGACAGTGGATGCATACCAAAACAGGGGTGATAGTTTTAAATGCCTTCCAGCTACATTTTTAACCAACATTAAGTGTATCAGGATTATGAACTGAAACCATTCAAATGTTTGAAATTAAATGCCTTTAGGAGAAACTATGACCAGATAACTCTCACACTTACAGCAACAATAATCTAAATGTTAATAACATAACATGTATGGGGAAAGTGTGGCTCATATCCAGAGAGCAATATGACCTAATTCTCTATTTCCCCTCAGCTCGATGGAACACTTTAGCGTCTTTAACTCATTGTTGTGGCTTTCAGGCATCCACCTTCAGTCTCACCACTCTCACAATCCCTGTCTCAGCAACAGCAGAGCTCTAAGAAAAAAAACAAAAACTCTACACTATCTGCTCAGCACCAAACACTTTTAATCAGGAGTCTGGGGACATTAAACCAAGCTGATGGGAGAATGAATATTGGACTTCCATTTATCAAGCGGGCCAAATGACTGCTGCTCCATACACCGTCTCTCGGATGTGTGAAGTTGTGTCACATTCACTTTATTAGATAATAAAAAAGGAGATGATGACGATATAAAATAACTTTATAATTTCTAAAATGGGGGCTACAAGGTGGCGCAGTTGGTAGCACTGTTGCCTCGCAGCTAGAAGGTCACCGGTTTGTGTCCCAGTGGGGGCACCGGGATCTTTCTGCGTGGAGTTTGCATGTTCTCCCCGTGCAGCGTGGGTTCTCTCCGGGTTCTCTCCGGGTTCTTCCTCCCACACAGTCCAAAAACATGTTGAGGTTAACTGGTGATTCTAAATTGTCCGTAGGTGTGAATGTGAGTGTGCTTGGTTGTCTGTCTCTAAGTGTAGCCCTGTGATAGACTGGTTACCTGTCCAGGTGAACCTGCCTTCACCCTGAGTCAGCTGGGATAGACTCCAGCCCCCCGTGACCCTAGTGAGGATTAAGCGGTGTATAGATGATGGATGGATGGATGTCTAAAATGTGATTATGAGTCAAACATGATTCCTGAGTTTCTAATACAAGCATGATGCTCATCTCGAGATTTTTTTGATCCAGCTGTTCTGCTTCTTGTAGTGTGAATGTGCTGTACGTTACAATAAATCAAGCCAGGGCACATGTCTTCTTAGTTTGGAAAAGAAAGGAGACTAAGGTTTTAGCAGAGGGAAACACTGAACTAGCAAACACAAAGGACAAACACAGTTAAATAAACTTGTTATCTCATCTTGTTGACACTCCAGCTAACCTCAAAAAACCTGCAGCACAACTCAGAGATCACAAATCTCATCGCCTGCAGATTATCACTGCTGACTAACACTGACCAGAAAAGCTCCTCTTTCACATTGCTGTCTCCGGTTTCATGCGTTAGCACATCTTTG